ATAAAAATTCCTTTGGAGACTTCCTTTATCTCTGCCCCACAAGATATACGTTGGCAGTCATCTCCCAAGCATATGACCCACCGATATACATCTGAAGGGTTTCATGACTCAGGTTTTACTAAACAGTAAAAAATGACCTTTTCCTAACAACAGCCCCACAAGGTCCTGGAAACCTTGCTTCCAAATTCCAGAGACTTACACTCTCCCTAACCCCCTCCCAACTTCAAAGTATAGAATCAGTCACTCCTCACAACCACAGAGCAGCTCTTTCTGCCCATGGGTCCTGTCCCCGAGCTTTAATAAAACCACCTTTCTGCACCGAAGACGTCTCAAGAATTTTCTTGACCATTCACTCTGAACCCCAACATTTTCACATTAATAACCACAGGCAACTATCCACAAAACAGAAAGTTACAAGTGTTGGCAAGGATGGACAGAAATTGGAACACCCACACACCATTGGTGGGAATATAAAACTAAAATAGTGTAGCTGCTAAGGGAAACAGTATGGCGGTGCCTCAAAAAATTAAAAATAGAACTACCATATGATCCAGGAATCCCACTGCTGTGTATGGCTCCAAAGGAATATTATATTATACAGCCCTTAAAAGGAAGGAGACTCTGACACACTCTACAACACGGATGAACTTTGAGGGCATTATGCTCAGTAAAATAAACCAGTCACACAAAAAACAAATACTAGTCGATTTAGATGCGGTATCTAGAGTAGTTGAATTCGTAGCAACAGAAAGTGGAAATGTGGCTGCCAAGGGTGGGGGGCAGCAGAGAAGGGGGAGTTGTTTAATGGGTGTAGAGTTTCAGTTTTGCAAGAAAGAAGGACTTCTGGAATTAGTCGAGCAACAGTGTGAATACACTTAACACTACTGAGCTGAACACTTAGAAATGGTGAAGATGGTAAATTGTTTTTTTTTAAGATGATAAATTTTGTTTTTTTAATAAATTAAAAACATAGCTAATTACAATCTGTAGAAACTCTCAAATCTCTTTTTTTAAAAGATTGTATTGATTTATTTGAGAGAGAGAGAGCACAAGCAGGAAGGAGGCGCAGAGGGAGAGGGAGAAGCAGGCTCCCCGCTGAGCAGGGAGCCCAACATGGGACTTGATCCCAGGACCCGGAGATCATGACCTGAGCTGAAGGCAGACGCTTCACCAACTGAGCCAGCCAGGTGCCCCCAAATCTCTTTTTAGTCTGTGAGCTCATCCTTCTTTCTCTGTGTTGTAAACCTGCTAACAAATAGGAAAACCAATGTCTGGTTTGGGTTTCCTCTTTTTCATATATAAAGTCCTTCTTTCGGTGGAGGTGACATAGCACAGGTCACCCTTCCCCACACCTGACTGCACCCAAGCCAACACATCGTGACCAGGAAGGCTGATGGATAAGGGGGACCAAAATAATGTACATAATGGGCAGTGTCTGCATTGTAGTAATTTGACTTAGAGGAATTCAAAACTCCACCCATTTGCTCTATCAGCTCATTTTCATATGTGTGAGATAAAAGAAGGAAGGTAACGCTATTCACCCATTGTAAACATGAAACAAGAAACATACAGATCTTGAGATGCATACTTCCATCCTATACCAGAGATCACCATCTTGCAAAGGTCTTATAGTACTTGACTCGCATAAAGGCTCATTTAGAACCCAGAACTCCAGGAAGTCCAAATATTTGTTTTAGTTACAAGTATTTGTTTTGATTGGAAAGCATCTTCAAAGCAAGCTTTGATTTCAATAACTGGAACGAAGAAACCATGTGTTTTGAAATTTTCTCTATTAGAAAAAAATGTATAGGGAGTATAAGGGCACCAGATCCAATATGCATAAACAGAGGATAGTTTGAATGAGCTTACTGGCAGGAAGTGGCTTAAATTGTTTCCAAAGTTGTATTCTGTTGTGCAGATCCGTGGTCAGCGAACCCTAGGTTAACTAGTTGACCACCACAGATGGAGAGATAAGGGAGTAGGAAGGCTTTTCACAAACCCATTTCAAGCAAAACAAAACTGGTTGTAACTAGTGGATTTACAGAACAAATTAAGTTAGGGATGATTCACTTTTTAAGGGATTTTCTAAGTTTTCTTTATGAGAGTTGCCATAATATAATTAAAGCATAGTTCCACTTATAGAAGTCCGATTTCAACCTAGACTATTAAGAAAGTATCAAACTTGGGGGCGCCTGGGTGGCTCAGTTGGTTAAGCGTAGGACTCAGTTTTGGCTCAGATCGTGATCTCAAGGTGGTGGGATCAAGCCGTTAGGGGTTCCATGCTCAGTGGGGAGTCTGCTTGAAGATTCTCTCTCTCTGCCCCACCCCACCCCCCAGCTTGCATGCAGGCACACTGTCTCTCAAATAAATAAATCTTAAAAAAAAAAAGCAAACTTGAATAAAATGAGGTTTCATTTCAGACCAAACTGTAATAGGTTTTATAGAGAACAACACCCTAAGTAAAAAAGTGAACTTACAATCTATTAGAGTCGATGAAACAACATTTCATAAATTTGCAAGTGTAGCAGAAACATTTAGGCATAAAGCATTTATGGAATGCTAAACATGGTGGGGGGGCAGAAAAACGAAAGAAAAACTTCAAAGGGTTTCACAATGTGCAACAAGATAGGTGAAGTGACCAGTTGTTTAAGAGCCTGTGAATGGGGAAAGTGTGCCATTCTTTTTTTTTTTTAATTTTTTATTTAAATTCAATTAGTTAACATATAGTGTATTATTCGTTTCAGGGTTAGAACTTAGTGATTCAGCAGTCGTATATAACACCCAGTGCTCACTATATCCTGTGCCCTCCTTACTGCCCGTCACCCAAAAGGGTGCCCATTGTGACCAGCGAACCCCACCGCCAGTTAATCTCGTGTTACGTGCCCCTTTGCCCATAGCCCTTACTCATGCTTAGCTTCTCCTGCAGTTTCTGCATCTACTTTGCAACCCTTAGATTCCAAACCAGAGCTGCAAAAGAAGGGACATACTGGAGACTGAGATCAAGACCCAGGACTAAGAAGACAAAGCTTCAAAATTTAGTCATCTGTGCACCCTTACCTTTGTTATAGGATATTATGAGAATACAAAAATATAGAAATATTCAGCATTAGCCTTAAAAATAAAAGTCAGTTACTTTCCCCGTGAAAGGGGATTTGGGAATAGCAGAGAATTGCCGTCTGCGACATGCAAGCTATGACAAGACCACAGGCAAGTCCAACATAACGAAGGAGAGGAACGTGGTTTTACGGACAAGGAGGGAGTTGGGAGGGTTGCTTTGAAGCAAAGTCCACTGGAGAAAAACAGGAGTTCGGGGGGACGGTGGTTTGTCACCGGCCGCGCTGCTGGGGTGCTCGCTTCCTGTAGGAGGTGCGGTGAGCATCTTTCCCCGTGGGGGCCTGTAATTAGGGATTCTTCCCCGGGGAGGGTTCTTCTGTTCGATCTGCAGTTGACCTTGAGTGATGCGGCTCCCCCTTCCAGCCTCCCCTTCCGCATCCTTTACTGATTTTCACAAACACAACCTTTAAAAAGTTTTTATTTTGAAATAATTGCAAATAGTACAAGGAACTCTTGTATACTCTTCATCCAGATTCACCACTTATTAACATTTATTATATTTGTTTTATTAATCTCATTCTCTATCTGTTGAACCATTTGAGATAAAAGTGAGAGATGCCCCTTTACCTCTAAATATTTCAACGTGTATTTCCTAAGAACAAGGACATTCTCTTAAGAGCACAATAAAATTATCCAAATCAAAAAATGTAATGATTACAATATTGTCTAATATATAATCCATATTCAAATTTTGCCAATTGTCCCAATAATGTTCTTTTTAGCTGTTTTTCCTAATCCAAGATCCAGTTCAAAATCACCCATGAATATAGTTATCTTACCTCGTTAGTCTTTTAATCTGGCACAAAATGACAATAATGTTTTTGAAGAGCGTGGAACAATTAACCAGATTTGCCTACCTCAAATAAAGGTTATGCTTTCATTTCTTCTTCAGCAATACGATCTCGTGTGGCGTTCTTTTGAGGATATCGTATCAGGACGTACATGATGTCCGTTCCTCTCAAAACGCCTCATGTTAGCGTTAATGACATGGTTATGGTAGTTGTCCACCAAATTTCTCTACTGCAAACTTATTTATCTTTATAATTCGCATGTAGCTTGTGGGGAGTTATTCTGAGACTACCTAAATATTGTATTCCACATCCTACCTTTACTTTCTCCTTTTAGCAGTTTTTGATGACTCCCGCCTAAACCAACGTTTTTACTGAGATAACAACCACTCCAGCGCACTGGTTTTGGTGCACTCACAGGTGGTGCGCCCACGCTCTCCAGCCCCGAAGCATCCCGGCAGGACGAGTCCCCCCCCCCGCGTCACCCCCCCAGCAGCCCCCCCCCAGCAGCAGGCCCCGCCCCCCAGCGGGACGCCTCTCCCTCCGTACTTCCCCCCGAGCGCCGAAGCCCGCCCCTGGGCCCTCCGCCTTCCGCGGACTTGGCGGCTGCCCACATCCCCAGATGAGTGCTGTCCTTGGGTCTGGCTTCTTTCATTTAGCACGAAGTTTTCAAGGTTCCTGCACACGGTGGCTTTAATCAGTACTTCACTCTCGTCATTCGCCTAAACGGACCATTACCTGGCTCTCCACAAACGACGACGCTCTGACACACGTCGCGTCTACACTCGCCAGGCAACACTACTCTCCCCGCCCCGCGTCAGGAGGAGCGCCAAGAAAACCGCGCCGGCGGACAGCCCTCTAACGGACAAGGTTCCCTCGCCCTCCGGTCCCTGCCGGGCTCGGGTCAGAGGGCCTCCAAAGGTCTCCTCCCCGGGATGAATACCCCCCGGGATGAATACCCCCAGGCCTCACCGGCACCTCAAGCGGCCCCTGCCGCCGGCCACCGCGCAGGCTCCGCCCCTCCGAGGTCCCGCCCCCACGGCCCAAGGCGGAAGTGACGCACCGGAAGCGCCCCTGGTCCCCTTGCAGTGGGGGGAAGGAATCAAACCCCCAAGATGGCGGCGGCGTCGGAGGAGCGGATGGCTGAGGAAGGAGGCGGCGGCCACGGCGACGGCGGCCCCTCTTCGGCCGTCGGCTCTGCCCAGCGACTGCCCCCCCCCGCCCCCGCCCCCGGCCCCGCAGCCGGGCTCTCAGGCGCCCCCAGCCCCGGCGCTGGCTCCCGACCAGCTGCCTCAAAACAACACGCTGGTGGCGCTGCCCATCGTAGCCATCGAGAACATCCTCAGCTTTATGTCCTACGACGAAATTAGCCAGCTCCGCCTGGTGAGGCCCCCGCGGGACCCCCGCCGCCCCCTCCGCCGGCCGAGGTCTGGGGAGGGGCGGAGAGGGGAGCGCGTCCCCCGGGGAGGGAGCCGCAGCCGGCTCCAGGACGCGGAGTCCCGGCGCCGGGCGGCGGGGTCGTCCCCCCTTCCTGCCGCGGGGCTAGGGTCTCGCTGCCCCGGCCCGGAAGCGGGGCGGCGGCGGGAGTTGGGCGCCCCAGCGCCGCCCGGCCTGAGCGCCGGCCCCGCGGCTCCGGTAGCCGCCTTTTGTGCACCAGCGTCCAGCCCCCAGCCGGGTCCAGCCAGGTTTGGTCGGTCCGCAGGAATCACGCACTGTGTCCCCCCCCTTCCCCCCCAACCCCCGACCCAGGTTTCCCGGTTGGAGAAGATGAAGTAGGGTTGGGGAGGCCTCCCCAAACCCGGTGGGGGCTCCGAGGGGCGTGAACGCCATTTGGTGGCCCCAGCTCCCCAGGTGACCAGTAAAGTAGAGCCCACCGAGAGCGCGTCCGGCTTGGCCTCGCCCCGACACTTCCCACCCTCGGGGAGCACCTCGCCCCTGGACAGGGTTGGTTTCTCTTGCAGTTCATTTTCTAACTAGTGACTTAACGCCCACCCGCCGGCTTCAAATCACAGTAGTTCAGTGATTTATAGAAAGGAGGAATTTACCTCGCTCCACAGCGTGGACTGAAGGTTTGATGAATGTCTTAGTTCAGTAAGATCTTTTGCTTCCTGTCGGGGGATTTATCTTTAAGTGGGAAGGAAATTGAAGGAGGTGGACATTTTGAAGTGATTGCAAGCCGACTGTGTGTAGGAGCTGAATCTGTGCTTGGGATTGTTTATAAGAGGACAAAGACATATTTCTGAATGTAGTGTGTACAGCATTTTCTCATTCCTGTGCCACATTTTAGGTTTACACCTCCGGTTTAAATTTGATTCTGATTACGTTTTGGAAAGAAGATCATACTTTTTAAAGAAAGTTTATTAATTTTGATTCAAACTGATGACCAGGTTTTTTTCCTAGTCAGCCCAGCAGGTCTACCATGCCAGCCTGCAGAATGGAAGATTCCTCAGTTGAAAAGTCATATTTCAAAATTGATTGTCCCTGAATTCCCCAAACATGTCATCCTAGAATTCCATATAGAATCTTAAATATTCCTTCCGATTTTTATAAAGGATGGTGTTTGATCAAGATTCATGCTGTACACAGTTGGGCATAACATTTGATTGAATTGAGCCTCTCAGCCAGACAGTGGCTTTGTAAAGCTTGGAATATTCACAGTTTGGGTTTGTCAGTGTTGGGGAAAACTGGTTTTTTGTTCGTTTGTCAGTCGTGTACTTTTTTTAAAATTAGAAACATTTTTTGAGGGGGAAAACTAGCTTCTTAGGACATCCCACAGTTTATTAATAAAGGACATCTCTTACAAGTGAAATATTCAGTTGCATTCTCAATTTTAAAGCAGTCCTCTAGCCTTTTAAGGGTACAGATTTGTAGTTTCAAACAAAGATTTTTCATAAGGAGCTCCTTACCATCCCCTGCGCCACCACCCTCTTCCCCCCTGCCCCCCAAAAGATTCTGCAATTTTATGTCTCAAAGATGGGTCTTTTCCCTCTGGTTTAGTAATGAGGAACTATTTTCTTATTCTTTTGTTTACTTAAGGTTAATAGATAATTCTTAGATTAGGTGGTTAATCTTTTGTGGGCATTTGGAAGTGTCTTTGGTTTCAGATTGATTGGCTCGGTGTTGTAAGGTACAATTCAATTCCGGTAGCATTATAAAAGAAGATGTTCTTTCTTGCCACTAGATGTCAGCATTAATTTAATTGTGGTCTTTTAATGAAATTGGCAGGGTAGAAACAGGGCCTGGTAGGTGCTTTACTTATACCTAATGGGCTATTTGCCAAAAAATCAAGGAACTTTAGTATGTATGCTGCTATCTAGAGTACACATTAGATAACTCCCTTCATTTTAAGTTTTTTTTTTTTAGTGGAATTAAGGGTGGATATGCTTGGAAGAGAGTGATATTAATTAAGAATAGAATTAGTTTCCATAAAGCTAAATGTCAACTACTCAGTGGTTGATGAACTAGTTTATGTATTGTTTAGATGTTTGGGTTTTTTCTTTCTTCCCACTTTACTTGCCTTATTAGGACCTCAGTTGTAACTGTGGTTAGCACCTAAATTAGAGGACAGGCACACAAGCCATGTACTCATTACTTTGTATTTTCTTTAAAAGATTTTCTCTCGGTTGAAATTGCTAAAATAACATTTTTCAGTTCTTTGTGCAGTTTAGTTGATGATAGTCTTTGCTTCCTGTTGCCATGAATAATTGAAATTTGACTCTCCAGTCTAGTTCTTACCAAGGGATTGTCCAAATGCCTTATTGAATTGTTGGTTTGTTTGTTCGTTTTTCCTGCCATTGACTGTTGCTCCAAAAATGTACCCAGAGCCTAGAGATCCTGGTTACACAGAAATAGTTCTTTAAATATTTAACTCTTCCAATGTATTTAAAATTATTTGGTGGAACACAGCTTTTGAAGTGACAAAACTTGTACTTTGAGTTGTTTTTTCAGTAAGTCAGACAAATTTGTGCTGATGCAGCATTAGACTGTCACCTAGGCCCTCTTGATGGGGTGAGAATTTTTGAAACAAGTGGCAAAGGTTAAGAAGTGAGGTCCTACCCCCAGTTCGGGAGTGTATCTAAGCCAAGTTTGAGCCTTTGATTTTGACTTGTGAGCATAGTGTTCTCACTCACTGAAAAATGAGTATGGAAGGCTTTTTAAAAAAGCTGTTTCAGAGGAATCCTATCAAATTTTTTCCTGTATGGTTTGAGTGGGGAGCTCCGGTGGTTCAGGACATAAATATGACTGAAGGTTAAATTCAGAAGTCTTGCTCATTATCTGGAATGAAATTTTCTGGTAGGTAACAAAATACATCCATACTTTCATCCCAAGTTATTTCTCTAGAGCACTCTAGCTAGTTAAATCTCTTACCCATTTATAGTTCCTTTTTCATCTTTTGTTCAAATATGTTTGAAAATTTTATAGAGAAGGTTGATTGGTAGGAAATACGAAGGAAAATGAGAAACCATTACTCTTTTTTTTATAGGCAAGCGCTCTTCCTAATATCTCTTGCTCTGTGCCAGTAGTTCTCAAATTTTTTTTTAACCTCGGGACATCTTTATACTCTTAAAAGTTATTGAGGACCCTAAGAGCTTACCTTAGAAAATTCTAGAAGACACAGGAAGAGACAGTACATACTTCGTTAGTGGTCAGAAAAATAATGTTATCATGTGTCATGTGGCCACTGGAAAAGTCCACTGTATGTTATGGAAGAATGAGAGTAAAAATGGCAAATACCGTCTTAGTATTATGAAAATAGTTTGGCCTCACAGACTCTCAAAAGGATCTTGGGAATCCCAGGGGTCCCTAGACCACACTTTACAAACCTCTTTGGCTCTTTGTGGCGGCGTTATGGAGAATATATTCTGTGCATTGATGATTTGTGGTTTTTTCCCCACCATCTCATCATTGGGTTATTTTTATTAACAGGTACTTAAGTACAGGTTGGAGATTCTAATATTTAGGGGACAGTTCATTTTTCCTGCAGATTCTAGTCCTAACGTGAAGGGGTTCAACCAGTAACCCTGCCCAGAGTGTCATGAAGACAGAATGGACACACCTTCCTTGAGCACACTTAGAAAGCACCAGGGTAACAAATGCAAAGATAAGAAATACGAGACTGTTGAGGTTAATCGGGAGACTTAATCAGAGAGGCTTCCTCAAGAGAATGAGTGTTTTATCCAGTTTATCCTTAGTAAAGGTGAGAGAACATTCCCAGCAGAAAAGAAATGACGTGTACAATGTAGTGAAGTGACTGGAGCAGGCTAACTAATTACAGCTATGAGGTGATTGTCTGAAGTGTCAGATGTCCTGGATTAGTGCTCAGACTCCCCCCTTGTTTCACCTTTTTTTATTTCTCAGACTGGCCAGGTTTAAGAAACTGTTTTGAGAACCTACGGGGTTGACACCTTTTGCTGGGGGGAGCAAGTAAGAATGTTAAGAAACAACTTCCACCTCTTAACATCATCATCATTTCCTAACAGACCAGGGGCACCTGAACAACCTGGTCAGCAGAGCAGGGCAGATTCAGACGGTATGGGAGGATCCTAGCTTCCAAGGATGGCCCATGTGTAGGATCCAGTCTCAGGATGTTTAGGAGCCAAAGATAACCCTTGATCGAGGTTTCTCCCAACCACCTACTTCTAACATCTTGGACTTAAGCTCAGATTGAAACAGGCATCATCAGGCTGTTGAGTTTCCCAAACATGCTAGGCCTCTCGCAGCAGGTGCTGCTTCTGCCTGCAGCCTCTCCTTCATTCCCCCCTCCTAGAGAGTATCTGTTCCTTCAGGATACACCTTAAGTGTCAGTACCTCAGTACAGCCTCTGTGCCTCTTTTCTGAACCTCACTCAGTAGTACTTCTGAGTTCCCAACGCAACATGGTTGTACTTAGAGATTCTATTGGAATTGTCTTTGTAGGGGCCGGTTGGGCACCGAATTTAGGCTCCTCGTACCCTTTCATCAGAAATCCCGATGGCCTTCTGTAGTCTGTGATTCAATATGAGTACTTAGTGTTTGTTGAATAAATGAAGTAGTTCTTAAAAACACTGCACTAGGGACGCCTGGGTGGCTCAGTCGTTAAGCATCTGCCTTTGCCTCAGGTCGTGATCTCAGGGTCCTGGGATCAAGCCCTGCATCGGGCTCCCTACTCCACGGGAAGCCTGCTTCTCCCTCTCCAACTCCCCCTGCTTGTGTTCCCTCTCTCGCTGTCTCTCTCTCTGTCAAATAAATAAATAAAATCTTTAAACAAAACAAAACAAAAAACTGCGCTACTCCAAGTAAAGGATAGAAAATAAATGTCATTGTGAAATAAATGTGTTTTCTGTATACACTGTGGTGGTGCTAGAAGATGTGCTGCTTCATATTTACCTCCAACAGAGGAGAGTA